CGGTGAGTGTATATATATTTTTAACACAAGAAACAACAAAATAGACAATTCAAAAAATAAAATTGTGGGCATAAAATAAATAAATCAAAATGTGTAATGTAATTGTTTAAATAAAAAACTGTAAGAATAAATTTGATAAAGTACAAATGAAAATATGGCATTTTAAAACTTTTGCAACCAGAAGCTGCTCTTCATTTTAGTGACAAACATTAACAGTAACAACAGCTTTTTGACAAGTTTAAAGTTTCTTTAAAATACATTTGAATATTAAAATTATTTATGTGAGCTCTCCATGACAGCGACAACGTTTCTGTTATGGTTTAAAAAGCTGAACTGTTCCTCAGATTTGTGCACGATGCTGTAAACGTTGTTTTGCTGCTTACGGCACCGACGGGTCGGATCAGATCCAGACTGGAGTTTGTTTCTTCTGAGGAAGCAGAAGACAAAACAATGACAGCAGATAATAATTTATTCATCTCTGATTGGACAGCAGCTTCAGAGTGGATCCACACATGCTAACATGCTAACATGTAGCATTCCTCTGTAAACACAGCGTTCTGTTTGACGTCACGTGTTCAGGACTGTTGGTTCTGATGGAGGTCCACTTTAAATCAGACCACAAATAAACCCCAGATCTGAGCCATAAGACCTGCAGGTCAAACCGGAGCAGAGAGGCCCGGTTACATCAGAACATCAGAACATGTGATGGTCACATGACTGATGTGGGTCGGTCTGGTTCTGCTTCATGTGCTCAGTCGGTCAGAGCCAGCAGCAGCTCAAACAGTGACATCATCCATCCACCGGCTCAGAGATGCTGCGGAGGAGGAGAGGAGCAGGGGGGTGTTGCCTCGGTGACATCACTGCTGTGCTGTGATTGGCTGAGAGGGCCGGTGATGTCACACATCTCCAAGCTGCTGTCCGGAGCTTCAAACCGAGGCTGGGAGAGAAGAAGACAGATGGAGGGGAAGTTGTGTCGTGTTTAACCGTCCCTGCGCCACCGACACACGACTCCTGCAGGAGGACATGTAGATGTGTGTGTGTGTCGAGGAGCAGCAGCTGCTCGCTTCTTCTCTGTAGGACCTGTAGGACCTGTAGGACCTGTAAGACCTGTCAGACCTGTCAGCAGGAGGAGCTGGAGCTCCGGACCTCATGACGTCAGGTTTTCAGAAAGAGACCGATGGACTGACAGCAGGACACCATGGCATCCAAAGGAAAGGTTTTTATTTGGATTCTGAGTCCTCGGGACTTGTGATGCTTTAGAGACGGCCATGGAGCGAGACGAGGGGGGCAGGACCAGGTCCGAGTCCACGAGCAGGACCAGGTCCGAGTCCACGAGCAGGACCAGGTCCGAGTCCACGAGCAGGACCAGGTCCGAGTCCACGAGCAGGACCAGGTCTGAGTCCACGAGCAGGACCAGGTCTGAGTCCGTGAGGGGCCGAGAGAAGATCCTGTGCTACATTAACATGCAGAGTCCAGGTAGGACCTGAGACGAACACCTGAGGAGCTGCTGACCTGCTCAGCTTTTCCTCTACATTCTTCAGAACTGTTCTGATTAATTAAACCTGAGCTTAACTCAAACCAGCTGATTAATTAAACCTGAGCTCAACTCAAACCATCTGATTAATTAAACCTGAGCTCAACTCAGACCAGCTGCTGGTTTAAATTCAGACTTTGGTACAGTATGTGAGAGGAGTTTATTTTTCCTGACGTGACACAGCGGAGCTGACAAACGTGACACGGTCTCGCCTCCACCTGCTGCATCACTTCTTATCTTTCACATCATCAGTAATTAAACCAACTGTTGCTTCTGTTTCTGCTTCCTGTTTGTTTGAGATGTAATTATTTCCTCATGATGTTTAGTTTAAAGGCTTCAGGCCTCGGCTGATCTCTGTTCTTTAGTGGAGATGAAGCCATCCTGTTTGTGTCTCGTCTGGTCCACCTGCTGCTTTTCATCACATCTTTACGTTTTAACGTCGTCCAGCAGTCGTCAGAACTCACATCCACGCCTCTGAATCTCCTCACTTTACTGACGAGATCAGATTTTCTCAAAATGACCGTATTTAGTAAAAAAGAAGTTTCTGCTGCAGCTTTAAGAAACAATATTTAACATTTATACATCAGAACGATATAACTGTTAGCTCAGAGTGTGAGGATGACTCTCACCTACTACCACCCTGATGTAAAACTAACCGCATTAAAGGCTGAATGTTGGCAGAGGTGGAGGAACTGTGGCAGCCATCTTGTTTTGTTGATAGTAACATGTAATCAGACGTGAATCCAGTGATTATTTCATTGAATATATTCAGGCTTCCTGCAGATCCTTAAAAGTCTTAAAGACATTTAATTTATCGATTCAAAGATAAGCTCTTAATTAGTCTAAAAGTGTCTTAATGTGAACATATTGTAAGCAGGATAAGTGTAATATTTTGCTAACAGACACACAGATTGTTATTAATCGTGTTTCCATCAGTTGTAGAGTGAATTTTTATCTAACTTTTCAAAATTCGCAAAAAAATTAAATAAATAAAAATTTGAATCTAGACTGCTTCTAGTTTCCCTCTCGACTGTTTGATGCAAATAAATGAGGCTACGCAACACGTGATTATGTCAGACTTCGCGACAAGCTTTGCGGTAGTAAACAGGAAGTGAAACTTGCTAACTAGCAGAGGCTAGTCATCTCAGGACAATGGAGCAATTTTTTTCATGAATGCCTTGCTATTGGGCAAGTTGTAATTATTCTATCTATTCAGCTAGTACAGGCTATGTTTAACGCTGCCAGGAGAAGTAGGGAAATAAACACAATGTTTTCGCGCATTTATGATAACATCTGGGACGAGGCAGGAAAGCGTAAACAGCTGAACGTCACGTGAGGTAAATATGCGCTATGTCACAATTTATTCAGCAAACATGTTTCCATCTCCAGTTTTGCACATTAACTACTTTGTGAATCATCCAAAAACCACCTCAAGCGAGTGTAAAAACTTTTTAGTGAATTGAGGATTTTTTTTTCCGAATTTTGCTGTTTCCATCTGACTTTTTTCGCATTTTTAATGCGACACTTCTAAATGCGCATGAAAAAGCCTTGATGGAAACACGGTTATTGTTAAATATTTTCAGTAAATAATTCAGATCTCAGCTTGTTGACCTGCTGCTCTGTTTGTTTCAGCTTTACCTCCTAAACCTGTGAAGTCCTCGACTCCTGCAGCTTCCAGCTGCTTCAACAACAGCATGTCCCTGCAGGACGCAGAGTGGTACTGGGGGGACATCTCCAGGTACACACACACACACACACACACACACACACACACACACACACAGATAACTCACAGCCATGTGTGTGTGTGTTGCAGAGAGGAGGTGAACGAGAAGCTGAGGGACACGGCTGACGGTACGTTTCTGGTCCGAGACGCCTCCACCAAGATGCACGGAGACTACACCCTGACTCTGAGGTACACACACACAGAGGTCTGGTTTATATATCCCCGTGGGGACCGTGCATTGACTTCCATTCATTTTTTGGTAATTTTATATCCTGACCCTGACCACTTACCCTAAAACTAACATAAACTCAATCCACGCCTTGGTCCTAAACCCAACCCCCCACCCGTAATTTGCGTTTGGACCCGTGGGGACTGGGCATTGGTCCCCACGAGGCAGCTTTTTCTGGAAAATTGTCTCCACTATGTAGGAAAAACAAGGCCACACACACACATCTGGATCTAGCTGGGTCTGAGGGACAGGATCCCATCTGACCAAATCAACTAAGTAAGATAGTTCTGTGGAACCAGATCCAGAATGATGGACTGTAGCTGCATTTCCTTTACAAATGTGCACAAAACTTTGTTGATATTCTGTTGATGTTGAAAAAACTGTTTTGCAAAATTACGGTGTTTCCATTAAGTAAGAAAAGATATTAAAGTCACGCGTGAATATGTTTCTTATAACGATAAGTCGTTACAAACATGACAGCAATGGATGTAAACACATAGCATGTTGCTACCACGACACTAGCGCTCATCATCAGAGGAGACGTCGGCGTCTGATCGAGGCTTTCGACGGACAATCCCCTTATTCCTGGGAGCAGCTGTGTATGCAGCGTTTTTGGGAAATTGTAGTCTGATTTTACTGCTACTTCTACTTCCTGTTGTTGTCCTCGTTGTCTTCTTCACCAGTAGAAACAACTGGTTGTTGATCACATGACTCCCGTGATGCAAAAAAAGTGTTTCCATTGCAGTTTTGCAAAAAACACCAATTTCAATATGGCCATAAAACACCTCATCCTAGAGCAAAAACATTTAGTTGAATAACGTACGTTTTTTTAAAATGATGTGTTTCCGTTGAGCAAATTTATTTTCGAAATTCTAATTTGTGAATTTTTATGGTCAATGGAAACACAGCTAGTGTTTTATTTTCACCAGAATCAGAATCTGTTTAAGAAATCGTTACAGATGTTTACCAGCTGTTAAACATCTGTTAAACATCTGTTAAACACCTGTTAAACATCTGTTAAACATCTGCAGCTCCCAGCTCTAACTGAAGCTGTTCAAAGTGTTTCTGATAGTTGACTCTGTGCTCGGCTGCAGGAAAGGAGGCAACAACAAACTGATAAAGATCTTCCACCGGGAGGGGAAGTACGGTTTCTCCGACCCGCTGACCTTCAGCTCTGTGGTGGAGCTGATCAATCACTACCGCCACGAGTCTCTGGCCCAGTACAACCCCAAACTGGACGTGAAGCTGCTGTACCCGGTCTCCAAACACCAGCAGGTGCGTCCCCCTCGGTCCGACCATGGGCTGGCGGTTCTGTGAGTCCGGTCTCTGACCTGTCGGGTCTGTGTCGTCCAGGATCAGGTGGTGAAGGAGGACAGCATCGAAGCTGTGGGGAAGAAGCTGCACGAGTACCACCTGCAGTACCAGGAGAAGAACCGCGAGTACGACCGGCTGTACGAGGAGTACACCAGGACCTCTCAGGTACGCCCCCCTCCCTCCCCCGGCAGGACGGCAGGCGGCGGCCCCCCCGTCAGAGACTCGACTGTAACCCCTCCTCTTTGGTCCTGCAGGAGATCCAGATGAAGAGGACCGCTATTGAGGCCTTCAACGAGACCATCAAGATCTTCGAGGAGCAGTGTCAGACGCAGGAGCGCTTCAGCAAGGAGTACATCGAGAAGTTCCGCCGCGACGGCAACGACAAGGAGATCCAGAGGTAGGCTGTTACCACGGCAACCACACACGGGACGCCCGGTTACCATGGCAGCAGAGCAGGAAGAAACCACCGTCTGGTAGATTTGTCTCGATTCATTCAGCCAATCAGATCGCTTCATTTTCTGATTGTTCTGGTTGGATTTTATTACGTTTTACAGCAAAAAAAATACCAGAAACTTGTTTTTATTAAAACTCTGCTTCAGTTGGATCAAAGAAATCCAACACAAGTCTGTTTTTGTGGGTTTAGTTTAGTTCTGCATTAATGAATCAATAAAATCGATAAAAATCGATTATTAAAAGCGTTGGCAACGAGTTTCATTATCGATTCGTTGTGTCGTGATTTATGTCCCTCGTCGTGTCGCGGAGCCGATTACATCATCCGCAGAGCGTTGTCAATGCTGTCCTGAATAAAGTTTAGGAAGAAAAAAAATTACCTGTAAAGATCCGCCCTCTGATGTCGAGTGAAACGTAGAGACGTCGAACTTTAAACTGGTTTTTAAATTGTGTTGTTAGGACAAGTAGATCAGAACCGCTTTTACTGGGTCGAACTCTGTTTTAGTCAAACAGAACCAACAGTAATGAAGCAACAAGTAAAGAATTAGAGAAAAATTATAAATATTAAACGTAAATAAATTCTAATTTAACAGTTTTACATCTAAAAATCATGTTTATTTTAATCTATTTTCCTCATTCAGCAACATATTAAATTTCTGTTACGTTTCTTGTAGAAGAAATACACATTTCTTTTCAG